AGTTAAAAAGATGTATTCGGAAACTGAGTGCAATAAAATATATTATCTGAAATTAAACATAACAAAAAACCAAATTAGAAAATAAATGCAATATAGAAGATATATAAAAGTAAATGAAATAAAACAGATCAAACTGGAAGTCGAATGCAATGAAAGATTTAATTAGAATTTAAATGTAATGAAAAGGATGTAAGCAGAAATCAAGTGTACTAAAAAAGATTTAATTAGAAATTAAAGGTACTAATAATTTACTCAAAAAAATAAAACAATAAAAGATACAACTAGAAAATGAATGTAAAAAAACATCTAATTACAAATCAAACGGAGTAAGAAGAATAATACAATTTAAAATTAAATAAAGTTTAAAAATGTAATTTAAAAACAAATGTAGTAAGAATGCAATTAGAAAATAAATGTAATGTTAAAAAATGAAATAATTAATTAGATGCAATAAGAAGGACAAAGTTAGAAAATAAATACAACAATGAAAAGGATGAAATTAAAAATTAAAAGGAACAACAAATACGGAATTGGAGAATAAAAATAATAATTAAAAGATTTAATTAAAAACAGAAATGACAAGAGTGCAAAATAAGAATAAAAAATAATATCGGAAGATTATAAAATATAAAATTGGAAGATATTCAGCAATAAAATAAAAAAACAAAAGGAAATAACGAAGCAGCAAATAAAAAACAGAAATAAAAAATTAAAATAAACTAATTTTGATTCCGGATCTTAAGTGCAAAGGCCGAAAATAATTAGAAAATGAAATAGCGAATGTTAAAAAACTGAAATGTGCAATAACGAAAAGGATAGAACAGTTAAAAGGTTGGAATCTAAAAATAAGTAAATGGGGACTCTCTCTGAAATTCTGATCTTTATTTGTTGTAGAGACGCAATATTAAAAAGGATATTAAAAAAGAAAATCAAAATATGATCAAAAGTACAATCAAAGTTATATTTAAAGACATAATTGAAAATGAAATTTTCAGTATAACTAAAAATAAAACTAAAAGGCAATTGAAATTCAATTAGAAACTATAATTAAAAATATGATCCAAAGAACAGAATTAAAAAGGAAAGAACAAGAAGGAAATGAATATAAATACAAAAGGAAAATATAATTGTAATCAAAATATATTTGTAAATAAAATGTAATTATAAGAATATAGTTGTGAAGAGGATGTAATGCAAAAAAGAAAGTAACGGAAAAGAAAGTATACTTGCAAAAAGCATGCAATAAATAAAACAAGCAGCAACAGCAGCAGCAGCAACAGCAGCAACAGGAACAGCAGCAGCAGCAGCAGCAGAAAACGGACTTTCGAAAAAATAGTCTGACATGTCCAAGATGCCGCAGTGCAGCATCATTCGAGTGGCTTCCTGCAGGCCGCAACCCCAAAACCCAAAACCCTAAACCCTAAACCCTAAACCATAAACCCTAAACCCTAGACATTTGGCTAGCTGCCTCCAAGCCCCGAGTGTTTTGCTGCTGGCCCTGAAAGGCACAGTTGGGGCCAGTGCAGGCAGCCCCAGGCGCGCAGTACGCTGATTGGGGGCTTTGGGGCAGCTAGCTAGCTGGCTCGCTGGCTAGCTGGTTGGGTCGCTAGTCCGTTAGCTGGCTAGCTGGTTAGCTGGCTAGCTGGTTAGATAGCTAGCTGGTTAGCTAGCTAGCTGGCTAGCTGGTTGGCTGGCTAGCTGGTTAGCTAGCTAGCTAGCTAGCTAGTAGGGTTTAGGGTTTAGGGTTTGGGGCTACCTGGGGCAAGATGGTTTTGAGGTGCTGGTCTGCGGGGTGTTTGGGGTCGAGGCTGGGCTGCGCTGCTTCTTCCTCCGCAGCTTTTAATTCTTTTTCTTTTTTAATTTTAGTTTCGCAAAGGCAAACATTTGCTGCTGCTGCTAACCCGGGGTACCGCAGCAGCCCCAGCTGCCACCCCAGCTGCACTGTTGCCAGCAGCTCCTTTTGCTGCTGCCGCTCCAGCTGCTTCTGCAGCTCTTGCCGGTAAACCAGCAGCTCTTCGCACGCAGGCGCCACCTGCAGCAGCAGCAGCAGCCGCAGCAGCAGCAGCGGAGAGTGCAGTAGCAGCAGCAGCGCGGCATCAGCTGCTGCAGGGGAGTGCAGCAGCAGCAGAAAGTGCAGCAGCAGCGGCAGACGCTGCAGACGCAGCAGCGGCAACAGCAGAGAGTGCAGCAGCAGCTAAGAGTGCCGCAGCAGCAGCAGCAGCAGCACAGAGTACAGCAGCAGCAGCGGCTGCAGACTCGGCAGCAGCTGCGGAAATTGCAGCAGCAGCAGCAGCAGCAACAGCAACTGCAGCAGCAGCGGCAGAGTCGCAGGGGCACGGTCAAGCAAAGAAAAGCGGCTAAGGACGAAGGCCACGCAGCAACCCTAAACCCTAAACCCTAAATTTAAATGTTGCAGCAGCATACCCCTTCGTGCAGCAGCAGCAGCAGCATTTAACCCGTTGGCTCCTGCACTTATTTAAACCCTAAACCCTCACAAGCA